CGACATTGTATTCTAGGTTAACAATGTTGACTTTTTTTATTTTTCTTGATTTTTTATGAACTTTTTTCTTGTGACTTTTTTTTTTTCCTGATCAACACAATTACCGTAGAACACAATAATAATACTATATTAATATCTAGTATCATAACATTAAAATTACGGTCTAAAAAAATCATAATATTAAAATTACAAACTTCTAATAAAGTTTTTATCTAAAATTCTAGGGCCTAACCTCAATTTAAAAAAATTCTAAAATCCATAATTTGTTCCCCTCAATTTTTTCTTCGTGGAACCGCCAGTGCATCCCAAATTTCTTCCCAAAAAAAATATGAAAACGATGAATTAGGCATGTGCGGAGTAATTTGGAATGAGATAACCACTCTAGTACAACGGTTTTTGGGGCTAACACCGGCCGTTAATTTTTATCTTTTTTTTTTGTCTTAAAATTTTTCCGTTATTGAGATGCGTTGACTTTTGACTTTTTTTATGATATTTTTTTCTTGCCGATTATCAGCTTTGAATTTTTTTTTAAATTATATTTTTCCATTACTCAACAATTTAAATAAAAATAAAATAAAAATCAAGAGAAAAATGTCAACGCTGTTAACCCGACATTCAACATCGGTCAACAACGACAAAAAAAGATCAATCGAAAAAATAGTCAACCGAGTTAAAAAGAAAGTCAAGGTCGGATTACCCAATTTTGAAAAACCGGTGTCATTGGTTAAAATTGGTTAATTGATGAAATTGGGGTTAAATTATGGTTGGATAAAAGTTTAGAGGTTTTTAGAATATTTTGAAAGAATACAGGGGTCTTATTGCAATTTTCTCAAAGAAAAACCCCAAATTCAGCCGTTGACCGCTACTACTTAACGGTCAAACAGACGGAGGGACCAAATGTGTTAAAATGTGACAACATTAATGTGTATTTTGTTGACGGCGGTAAATGGGGGACCAAAAATGAAAAACGTGCAAACTTGGGGGACCAAAACTGTAATTATCCCGATTTTTTCCAATCTAAATCAGATTACTCCCTTTTCACTAAAGGTTGAGATTCTACATTTATTGCATTAATTGTTTATCTCGATGACATAATATTTGCGGGCCTTTCTCAGCAGACATAACCAAAGTTAAAGATCAACTACAAGGAATTTGAGTTATACAAGAGAGATGCGAATTCCTTTCGATAATTAATTTTCACCGTTAATTCTTATCGTCTCTACCCAACGCATTGGGGCTCATTTGACTTAATATATTAATCTCTCCCATTTTGAATCAAAGTAGATATTATATCACCAATCAAATGTGCACATTAATTATCTAGGGATTAAGGGGTTGAGTAAATTTTTTTGAAGAAAACGTGGAGCTTTTATTTAGGCAGAAGCCGGACCATGCGGAAGGGAAAAACCTTCTCTACAAACCGAACCAAGTTTAGTGGCAATGTCATGTGCCAATTGGTTCCCACTTCGCTTCATAAATTGAAAATTACAACGAACAAAACTCTTAGCAATCGATAAAACTTCTTCTAGGAAAGCACCAAACGACGACAAAAGAGGATCGCCGGAGTTTAACGCTTGAATAACCTGTAGACAATCGCCCTCCAATATGATCGAGGTCCACCCTTGAGTTTTGGGAGTGTTGATGGCTTCAAGGGCCGCATGCGCCTCACAATCAACCGCTATGTCGAACCGCCCACCAACGACACCCCCTTCTCTATCGCGCACAATCATTGAAACTGAGTAAAAACTTTCTCCTGGAGGAACCGCCGCATCAAAGTTGATCTTAATAAAACCGTCCGGAGGAGGATGCCATTGAGTCTGAAAATTTTCGCCTATAGCCGGTAATCTTGGGATTCGGGCCTGTTGAAATTCGTAGAGATACAAATTGCACCAGGTAACTAACTAGCTCTTTCGTTTTAAGACAATCTTCGCCATGGATCTCCTTGTTTTGTATCTCCCACGCCTTCCAGCATATGATCACGGCCAATAGAAATAGCTCATCGCTCAGCTTATTGCGCAAATGTTCCAACCATTTCCACATTGAGATGCCTGGATCGAATGTCAAAAGGAGAAATGGGTGTGCTCGCCAGATAGCACCCATTCCGCTGCAAATTTGGAACACGTGCATTGTTGACTCCCTGGCAGCGCCGCACCTAAAGCAAATTGGGGCTGGTGCTATTTTCCATCTAAATAATTCCGCATTCATGGGTAAAATTCCTGAACACGCCCGCCACAAAAAGTGGTGAATCTTCGGTGGAATGGGCAGTCCCCATATATGTTTCCAGTAATGTTTCGTCTTGCTGTTACTCGATCCACTAACATCTCCACGATTCCCACCAACCGTCAGATCTTGTGCTATGATATTGTGATAGCACGACCGGACGGTAAAGAAACAAGTATGAGTCTAAATCCACCTGTCGCGTACCGAACTGCTATCAATTGGGGTTCTCAAAACTCTCTCCTTATCCACTGGCCAGAAAACCTCCTCAACTAATCCCATCTTCCATAATTGTGAGTCCGAGTCGATAAGATCCGCTACAGTATTAGGATAGCTCGCCGAGAACGGTCTCTTTGTCCAAACTTTAAAGTTACCATCATCACCGAGCCACGGGTCCCCCCATATGGCCGTATCTTTACCATCTCCGATTCTTCGTCGGAGCCCAGAGATGAGGTGAGGGCGTGATTTGAGGAGACTTCTCCACGTGGCAGATGGTCGTGTGCCAGTTGTAGCCCGAAAGATATCGCTATTCGGAAAATAGCGGGCCTTGATAATCTTTGCAAGAAGTGTGTCCGGCTGGGTAAGAATCCCCCAAAGTTGTTTTGCTAAGAGAGCATAGTTGAAGCTCCTCAAATCCCGAAAGCCCATTCCCCCACTTGATTTAGGCAAACAAAGTTTCTTCCAAGTAACCCGTGCCATCTTACGTTGCGATCCACCGCCCCACCAAAACCTTTGAATAACTGATTCTAATTCATTGAGTAAGCCGATCGGAAGTGCAAAGCAGCTCATCATGTACGAGGGTATGGCTTGTAGCACAACCTTAATCATCACTTCTTTGCCCGCTTGAGACAACTGTTTCGCCCCCCATCCTTTAATCATGGCCCATAGACGATCCCTAAGAAAGCGGAAAATTTCTTTTTTGGATCTGCCCAGAGATGCTGGCAACCCCAAATACTTCTCTTGACTATCAACCACCTGAAATCCCAGCAAGTCGTGAATGGTCTCCTTAGTCGTCGGGGAGGTACATGGACTGAAACACATGGTAGTCTTCCCAAAATTTATCTCCTGGCCCGAGACTCGTGCATACTGATCAAGAAAGGTGCGTGACAAAGAAGAGGCTAAAAGAGCAAATTTATTAGAAAATTCAAACATAGTCAAGTTAAAGCTTGTGTGGAGTCACGGTCAGAATGGCAATGAGAGTGTTTTGGAAGGCCTCCAAGCCCACGTAAATTTAAAGAGCTTAAACATTTGTGGATTTCCAGGAAGAAATCTGCCATCATGGTGTTCAATGATGTCGGAGCTTAATAATTTGATGGAGATAGGGCTTCGGAATTGCAAAGAATGCGAACAAATTCCAATGCTAGGGCACTTGCGACATTTGAAGAATCTTTATCTACATGGTATGGAGAATGTGAAATCCATAGGTTCGTCATTCTACGGAATAGACAAGTGTAGCAGATCAGGTAATACAATTACTATATTTCCGGCACTTGAAAGGCTCGAGTTGGTTTGTATGTGGAAGCTGACAGAGTGGTTAGAAGCAGAGTTGATGTCAAATGCAACGGACAATCGACGACTATCTCAACTTGTGGTGGTATTTCCTCGCCTCGAGTACCTAAAGATTATAATGAGCATGCAATTGGAGAGTGCTCCAAGTCATTTTCCATGCCTAAAAGAATTGGAGATTTCTCAAGTCAACAGTAAATTACCTTTGGCGAGCATATGTGGGATCAAATTAATCTCGCTTACAAAACTCCGAATTAATTCAATTGACGGATTGGTGTGTCACCCAGATTGGTTATTACGTAAAAATCAAAATCTCTCGGAGTTGAAGATAATTTATTGTTCCAACTTAACACATCTAGTGCCCTGCTTCCAGAGTGGCTACGCGGACGCCTCTCTACTAAAAAAGTTGGAGATATGTTATTGTCCGAATTTTAGAGAGTTACCATATCCACACGAATCACATGATGAACAACAATTATTATTATTAGGATTGAGTTGCCTTCATGAATTGAGTATTCGTACATGCCCCGGGTTGACCGATTTGCCGAGTGAAATGATGGATCATGTGCGGAGTCACTCGAGAAGTTGGAATTGCTTGAATTGAGCAACTTCAGGATGAATGTGGGAATGGTGACGGGCTGTTTGCAGAAAATGCATCGTCTCTCGGAGTTAAGGATTGCTGATATTCCAACCACCAATTCCTCGAAGATTGGGTTGTCGTCTAATGACTGCAGCTTGCGGGGTACTTTAAGCACGAGTACAAGTTACGGTGAGTCCTCACATTCCTCGGTTTTCGATGCCATCTTGAAAGGTTCAGCAAAATCTCTTTGCACATTATACTTGTCCGGGACGAAGCAGAGTCGGGATCTACCAGAGCAGCTTCAACATCTCACTGCTCCTTTAGAGATATACTTACATGATTTCGAAGAGATTGAAGAATTGCCTGATTGGGTAATTGGGAACAACAACAACAACAACAACTTGTCTTAATAACTGCAACAAGTTGCGGCGTCTACCGTCTAAGTAAGCCATGCTACGTCTCACCAACTTAATGCTTTTACTAATTTACCAATCTTCGATGTTACATCTAACAAGGCGACCAGACGGAGATTCTGAGTGGCCCAAGATTTCCCATATTCCCCGCGTAATTTTGGATGGAGTAGTAGTTCCAACTAACGTCGTCTAAATTTGTCGCATAAATTGAATAGGTCGCTCAAGTCAAAAGTACATATACAGATGTTGTATCTGCAAAAATTTCAGAAGCCCAAATAATTAATTTAGATTTTCGGTACAACTTTCTTAATCAATTCGAGAAGAACATCATCTTTGTTTGATCCTTGCAGGCGACTAATTAACATGGAAGAAGTAGCTGCATCCGCTGAGAATCCCCTCTCGTGCATTTCCTCTAAGAATGGGATTGCCTTGTAAACCTCTTTCTTCTTTAGCAAACCCTGGACAATGTAGTTGTACGTCACGCTATTCGGTGCACAACCACTTCTCTCCATTTTCACAATCAAATCTTCTGCCTCGTCTACACACCCTTTTCGGCAAAGTGAACCGAGAATAACGGTATATATTTTAATATTAGGTTTCAATCCTTTGGAAGGAAGTTCGTTTAAAATCATTTTTGCGTCGTCAAGTTTCCCATCTTTGCACAAACCATTAATCAGGATACCGTATGTGATTATATCAGGATTTAAACCTTTATTTTCCATCACCCGTAGAAACGAAAATGCTTCGGCAATCTGATGAGTCCTGCACAAGACATCCATTAAAATATTGTAAGTGAATAAACCGGGATGTACTTGCCGAGCTTCCATATCGTTGAAAAGTTTCCATCCATCTGCAAATCTGCCTTCACTAAATAATCCATGTATCATGGTATTATAAGTAACCGTTGTGTGTTCTAAGCCTTTCGAAGAAACTTCAAGAAAAAGACGCAAAGCTTCATCCACTTTTCCGTTCTTGCAATATCCGTTGATTAAAGAGTTATAGCTGATAATGCATGGCTTAAGGCCGCTGCTCGTTATGGAATCAAATACTTCTTTCGCTTTATCCATTTTCCTTTGCAAACAATACCCATCTATCAGTGCATTGTACGTGACAATATTAGGACAAATATTTTGTTGCTTCATAATTTCCAAGATATCTTCAGCTTCTTTAACATTTCCTTCCTTGCAAAATGCGTCCACCAATATACTAAAAGTAACAACAGTTAAAGAAATCTTGCGATTGACCATTTCATTTAGTAAGTTTTTGACTTCTCTCCATCTACCAAAATCGCACAAGCCCTGAATCATCGAGTTATATGTGACAACGTCAGGTGAAATGCCCTTTTCCCTACACAATTTAAAACAAAAAATATTAGTAACAAAAGCCGACCATTGAAAAACTAAACAATTGTTATTAGTCGAGCACAATAGTTTCATAACATTACCGATCTAAATGATAGTATCTTGAGCATCGGTGCACAATCTTGAGCATCGGTGCACAGTCAAGCAGGCGAGCAAGTAGTCCCCACCTGTTAAAATCCATGTATTTAATCGTCAAAGAAACCATTTGCCAAACCTAGGCAGTGGGTGAGGGTAATTTTGCTTTATCTGCACAAACAATGAGACTGTCAAATTAATACTATATTCCATCTTAAAAAAAATAAAAATAAAAAAACTCGAAACATCTTAAACTTTTGCTAATAACGAAACTATTTTTTCCGATAAAAAAATATAATGAAACTATTGATGCAATAAAAAAAAAATTAACTCTATCAGAAAATTGGTTTTACCCTTATGTTGCTGCCGAGAATATTGTTCGATATGCTTCTCCTCCATCTGTTTGTAAAAAATCAAATAAAAAGAAATTAAAGAAATGTCGTAAACTCCGACCATAATATATTTTACATTTGCACAAAAAATAATGAACTTATATCCATATATATATATCGACAAATGATATATCTAATTGGGCCGACCTTATGGGTCCCCAGTTTATCTAATAATTGGGCCCACTATACGAAAGCCCAATTGGGCCCGCTACACGAAAGCTCAAACACCTTCAAAATAAGGTATGGGCCCAACAAAGTAAGCCCAACCCAATCGACGACATATAAATAGAGGTTTTACTCATTTGTTAAGGTACGTTCTATTATTCACAAGTATTCTAGAGTGCATATTCTCTCTACCATCTCCACTATCCGTACATCTGACTTGAGCGTCGGAGGGGTTTTCGCCGGATCAACCCCACGCTTAGTTCACGTGTGTTCATTTTGCAGGGGCCTCAGGATCATCAAATTGTCAAGCTACTGATCCGCTTTGCTCTCCTAGCTCGTTTACCGCACTACCCAGGTGATCTAACTTTAACATCATCAACAAATTAAAAAAAAAAAAAAACTCAATCCAATTTTTGCATGCAGGCAGAATAATCAAGAAAAAGAAGAAGAAAAGAAAAACCATACATCGGACGTGAAGGGCAGACCTCGGCGGCGGCGGTGGTTCAGGAGGTGGCCTTAGGCGGTGGTGCATGGCAAACTCGGAGCGAGAATCTATATCTTTACTATTAGGCTTTTCTTATCGTTTAGCACATTTTTTGGGCTCCCCACAAAGCTTTTTCTTCCAGTGAATGATAATAAATGCATTCAATAAATTCCCATGATATACACGATACGTGGGATAATTGTAGTTTTGGGCCTATATTATACTTTTTTTTTGTTCTTAAACTTTTTCTCGCACAAAATTGATCCTAATAAACCAATTTTTTTACAATTTTCGTCCACCATTAGAATATGCTGTTAGTTTGGACGGAAAAGTCACGTGTGAGGCACTTGATAATGCACTTCTACTCCTTTTTACTTAAATTGTTAATTTAACCACAATATCACTTTATTCTTACAACTTCGTCCAAATAAAATTAAATTCGATGAATGTACTAAAAATGTGAAATGACAAACTTACCATAGGAGGGTCTAGCAATTAGTACATTTTATTTATTCACAAATATTATTTATTTCTTTATTTTAATTTTTTTAATAGAAAACACTATAACTTATTTGACTATACCAAATTTTATTAAAGAGTTTTTTTAAATTATATAAATATAATTTATTTCATTATTTTGTAATTATTAAAGATAAAGAATATGTAAAAAAATAATTAAACATGTATTGTACTTTCAGAAATAATGTTTGTAATTAGTCATTTATACAATAAAATCTATTTTGCCTAATCTTATAAATATTATGGTTTTTTATTATTCTTGAATAAATTTTTAATAGTATTCAATCTTAAATAAAAATAAAAAAAAAACAAATAAAAATAAAAAATCATTTCAATTGTAAAAAGTTACACATATGTACAATTGATGGCTCGACGGCGGGGTGAAAATGGCAGACGGGGCGGGGCGGGGCTGGGGCATTAAGAACATTTTTTTGGGGATTTGATTTTTTCTAGACGAATTTATAATAATAAAGTAAAACTAGGGCCAAATAAATAATAGAGGTAAGACAGGGGTTTAAGTGCATGATCACGTGCAAACTAACAACAATTTCAAAAATGTGTATAATATAAGGACCAAAACTGGAATTATCTCCCACGAAACTTTTATAATCTTCTCAGGTTGATGAGCAAGGACGGAACAACTCCGAATCTATGTCATTTTAGCAAGAAATTAGTTATAGTGTGGATGGGAGACAAGTGAAAATTAGCGCCAATATAAATCCTATAATAGTATGTACATAGGGCTGGCAATCGGGACATGTGGGCCGAACTTGGATCGGCTCAAGCTCACATACCATCGAGCCTTGTTACTATATGCTTAAACTCACATACCATCGGACCTCATTAGTATAGGCTCAAGCTCGGTATCATCGGCTCTTTTCTCCTAAGACCGAATTTGAGGAGTTAGGAACATTCTAAAATATAAGAATGTTTCTCGCACCTCAAATTCAGTCTTTGATGATAGGAAAACAAAATATAGTAACCAAGCAAAACTAAAGCATAACCACGTCTAATTTCCTATTTTCCCTCACGGGAATTTTTTTGTGGCCAATAGATGCTCCAGCTTAATATCATATCTTCAAATACAAGCAGTGTCTCAACCATCTCTGTCTACAAAAAGAAGAAACATATCTTTTTAGTTAACGAAATAAATAATTCAAACTAAATGCATAGTACTTTTTTTAAAAAATTGTATTAATTATTAGGGTAAATTACGGCAACCCCTAGGTATGACCAAATTACGAAAAAACCCTATTGATTGGGTAATTACGGCCACACCCTCCTTTTAAATATTTTTATATAAAATTTATGTTATTCGGTTATTTACCGAACCAAATTGTATATTAAGTTCGGTAAACGGTATGAAATGTTGGCGTACCGAAATTGCAGTTCGGTTTTACCTATTTAATATCCCCAAATTTACCCACCATAAGGGCTAGGTGTAAGAAGAAAACAAACGTCGAGAAATTTTGGTAATTACGGATAGGTGGGGATGTTTTTCATAATTCAGGCTCAGTTCAGGGGCTTTCAGTAATTTTCCCAATAAAGAAATATAAACACCACAAACTAAGATGATAAGGCTCAACGTAACTTCAATAAAATATATAAATTAAAGTTTTATAGTTACTATCAATTAGTTACAAAATAGGGCAAATTGCACATCACCCCCTAAAAATTCTAATTTTCGCACTTTACCCCCTCAAAATTTTAAAAAATGAATGCCCCCTTCAAAATGTTTTGTTGTTGCACATTACCTCGATAGCAAAATTTCGATGGATTATTCATCGGCATTTGATATTTTTGTTGCACATTGCCCCTTTATATGTTATTTTTATTGCACGTTACCCCTTAAAAACACTATCTTTTTGCACATTGCTCTTTTAAAATGTTATTTTTTTGGACAATGCCCAACAAAAATTGGTCTTCTGGACAAAGTGCAATCAAAATTATATTTTGAAGGGAGATTATCCAGTTTTTGAATTTTTAGGTGGGAAAGTGCGAAAATGGGAAATTTGTAGGGGTGAAGTGCATTTTGTCCTACAAAATATACTTTGAAGGATTACAATGCCCGTGCACAAAGGCAAAACTCACAAGTTAGACCAGACCGACCAGCTAGCAAAGCCTTATCAAAAACCTTATGACAAGGTAGCATGTTGTTAAACACCTTGCACCTACATCTGTTTGGTCATGGGTTCGAGACACCAGGAGGGGAATTGGGGAACCAATAACTATTCTTCTTAAAAAAAAAAAAAAAAAAAAAAAAAGAAAAAAAAAAACTAGCAAAACCTTATCAAACTTCAGAAGTCCAAATATATAATTTATAATTTTGGCACAACTTTCTTAATCATATCCAAAAGAAAATCATATTTCTCTGATCCTTGCAGGTGATTAATTAACATGAATGAAGTAGCTGCATCGGCCGAGAATCCCCTTTTGTTCATTTCCTCTAAGAACGGCATTGCCTTGTCAAGTTCTTTCTTCTTCAACAAGCAATGGATAATGACGTTGTATGTCACGCTATTCGGTGCACAACCGCTTCTCTCCAGTTTTATAAGCAAATCTTTTGCCTCGTCGACAAATCCTTCCTGACAAAGTGAATCGATAACAACGGTATAAGCTTGACAATTTGGTTGCAAACCTTTGGACGGAAGTTCGTTTAAAAGCTTTTTTGCCTCTTTAAGTTTCCCATCTTTGCACAAACCATTAATCAAGATACCGTATGTGACTATATTAGGACTTAATCCTTTGTCTTCCATCAACCGTAGAAACGAAAATGCTTTGGCAATCTGATGAGTTTTGCACAAACTATCCAACAAAATATTGCAAGTATGTAAATCTGGACGTACGTGCCGAGCTTCCATATCGTTGAATAGTTTCCATCCATCGGCAATTCTGCATTCACTAAATAATCCATGTATCATGGTGTTATAAGTAACTGTCGTGTGCTCTAAGCCTTTCGAAGAAACTTCGAGGAAAAGACGCCAAGCTTCATCCACTTTACTCTTCTTGCAGTATCCGTTGATTAAAGTGCCGTAGCTCATAATACATGGCTTAAGGCCGTTGCATGTTATAGAATCAAATACCTCTTTCGCCTTTTCCATTTTCCCTTGCAAACAGTACCCATCTATCAACGCATTGTATGTGAAAATATCAGGACTAATATTTTGTCGTTTCATAATTTTCAAAACATCCTCAGCCTCTTTAACATTTCCTTCCTTGCAAAATGAGTCCACTAATATATTGAAAGTAACAACAGTTAAACAAATCTTGTGGTTGACCATTTCATTCAATAAGTCTTTGACCTCTTTCCATCTACCGAAATCGCACAAGCCCTGAATCATCGAGTTATATGTGACAACGTCAGGTGAAATGCCCTTATCAATCATTCTAGACTTCAGCTCGAGAGCATTATCCACCATTCCAGTCTTGCATAAGCCATTAATCACCGCGCTATAAGCCATAACATTGGGTTTATAGATAGTCTTTTCCAATAACAAAAGCAAATCATGGGCAGCAAGAACGTGTCCATTTTTGCAGAGCCCGTTTATCACAGTGACAATTGTAAAATCATCAGGCTCACAAAGTCTCAAAGTCAAAAGCTGCTTAAACAATTTCTCCGCCTCGGCCACCTTACCATCTAAAAAGAGCCCTTTTAGAAGAGTGGTGAATGTCACAACATCTGCCTCGTAACCGTGTTTAAAGAAGACGCCGAAGATAGCAAAACCAATGTCTACACGTTTCAAAAGGCAACAACAATTAATCAAGATGGTCATTGTGTACTCATTTACAGGGGCACCCAGTTCACGCATTTCATCGAACAGTTTGAGGGCAACCGAGTATTGTTTCAAATTGACAATAACTTTTAATTGTTTGGTGAATTCAAAAATGGGGGGCTGCGGCCGCATTCTCACCATTTTGCGAAACAAGAAAATTGCTTCATCTACTTCGCTTTCACAGCTCAAATCTCTTTTGAAATTAGGTGAAAAAAGTCTATCTTTGTGGCGCACGCTATGAAAATTTAAAGAAAATAAAGAGAACGGATCAGCTAAAATACCGTAATAAGTAGAAGATTTAGCAGCAATTGCTCTACGAATAGGAGGCGATATTGCAGAAATTCTCATCTTCTTAAAGCGATTTTTGTGAAGAAAATTCTACTGCAGTGCAAAATGAAGTAGCAGATGAAATGAAAAAGGTGGGGTCGGTTGTTTTATGGAGGTAATTGCAAATACCACCCCTGTGTAATCTATAATTGTCAAATATCCTCCTCTAAAAAAAAACTCTCTTATGCCCCCTGTGTTAACATTTTCGAAGCACACTGCACCTTTTTTAATTTTAGGCTTTGACTAAATGTAAAAAGACTGAAATGCCCTAGGGTTTTTTCAGCAATTAGTACATGATAATTGATTCTAACTACACCAAATTTTATATCATAATTATCTAATTTTATATAAAATAAAATTATTTGTAATTACAAAAAGTAAAAATTATATAAACAAGAATTTGTTGTAGAATAATAATTATATAGTATATATACGCATAAAGAATTTAAACAAAAGGAATTTTGCAATAAGAAACTACTTAAGTGTAAGAAAGTTTTGCTGAGAAAAACATACTTCATTCATCAACTGATCGACTATTTTATAGGGAAAATATTACAAGCTGTGTCATTATCTATAAAATAATCAAGTCACAAGGGGATGACACGTAGTTAGTATAGACTTGGTCTCCAAGTTCTTAAACTTAGTCTACAAGTAATATTATAATACTCCCCCTTAGACTAAGTACATTGCTATTGTATCTACTGTAAAACTGTGCGTATAATCTACCTCGTTAAAAACCTTTGCTGGAAAACCCAATGGGACAAAACCAGTCATAAGGAAAAAAGAGTGCAACGCACCATTACTCCCCCTGAATTGAGCGATATAGCTTATGAGATGGGCCATTAATCTTGCTTCATATTGGCTCTTCGAATTCCAATATTGTATACCAATTTCTCAAATGTAGAAGTCGGTAAGAACTTTGTAAATAAATCAGCAAGATTGTCACACGAGCGAATTTGTTGGACATCAATTTCTCCATTCTTCTGAACCTCGTGTGTATGAAAGAACTTTGGTGATATGTGTTTGGTCCTATCACCCTTTATATATCCGCCTCTTGTTTGTCCTATACAAGCATCATTATCTTCATAAATGATAGTGGACGTATTTGAACTGGATTTAGTTGGCAGGAATTTCGTATATGTGATATGACTGATCTTAACCAAATACATTCTCTGCCAGCCTCATAAAGTGCTATTATTTCAGAATGATTTGAGGAGGTGGCTACCAACGTCTGTTTGGTAGATCGCCAAGATATACCTGCACCATTGTAACAAAACAAATATCCAGTTTGTGAGCGAGCTTTGTGGGGATCAGATCTATATCCCGCGTCGGCATAACCAACTAACCCTTTTTTAGTTGCATTTTTCGAATAAAATAATCCCAAATCTGCAGTACCACGGAGATATCGAAAAATATGTTTAACACCATTCCAGTGTCTCCGTGTAGGCTCAGAACTGTATCGCGCAAGCACATTTACTGCAAAAGTGATTGAGTGCATTGTGCTAGATACATTAATGCTCCGATAGCATTAAGATACGGCACTTCTGGGCCAAGTATCTCTTCATTAAATTATTTAGGTCGGAACGGATCATTTTTAGGATCTAAATTGCGCACAACCATAGGGGTGCTCAATGAATTAGAATTTTCCATATTAAACCTTTTGAGCACTCGTTTAGTATATGCGGATTGATGTATAAGTATGCCGTTGTTTTTATGCTCAAGCTCAATACCAAGACAAAGTTTGGTTTTTCCAAGGTCCTTGACCTCAAACTCTTTCTTTAAATATTCAGCAGCATTGGCCAACTCTTCAGGAGTGCCAATGAGGTTCATGTCATCTACATAAACCGCAATAATAGCAAATCCGGTTTCTGATCGTTTAATAAAAACGCATGGGCAAATATGATCATTTTTATAACCTTCCCTGATAAGGTATTCACTTAATCTATGATACCACATGCGACCGGATTGCTTTAGACCATACAATGATCTTTGTAATTTGATTGAGTGCAACTCACGAGGAGCGCTAGAGTTTGGCATTTTTAATCCATCGGGAATTTTCATATAAATATCATAATCTAGTGAACCGTATAGATAGGCTGTTACAACGTCCATTAGACACATATCTAGTCCCTCTTGGACGACCATATTTATAAGGAAACGAAAAGTGATCGTATCCATCACTGGTGAATACGTCTCATCATAATCAATCCCAGGCCGCTAGGAAAAACCTTGAGCTACAAGGCGGGCTTTATATCGTACAATTTCATTGTTCTGGTTTCTCTTACGGAAAAATACCCATTTATACCCAACGGGCTATAAATTATCCGGAGTTTGAACAATTTGCCCGACTACTTTTTCGTTTTTCTACGGAAGCCAATTCAGATTTTATTGCTTCCTCCCATTTAGGCCAATCATTTCTTTGGCGACATTCCATTATGGAACGCGGTTCACTATCATAATCATCGTACATAATTTCTTGTGCAATCGAGAATGCAAAAATATTATCGATGATTATCTCATTTTTATCCCATATTTCATTGCAATAACTTATGGGATTCTCGGTATTCCCGGGATTTGATATTGCTTTTTCGATATCAGGCTCAACAGATTCATCTGGAGCATTCTCACCAGGAACCACTTGGTTCGAGGGTTCATCGATTTTCCCCTTTCTTTTTCTAGGAACAATGTCCTTTGATCCAATAGGTCTACCCCGTTTTTGTCGTGGGGGATCAGTATTCATTTTCGCATGTTCTTCAGGAACATCGATCCTAGCTGGAACATTCACAGCTGGAATATAAGACTTCGTAACTTTACTCGAATCATTAAATGCATCAGGAAGTCTATTGGCAATATTTTGTAAATGAATGATTCTATGGATCTCATTTTCACATTCAGAGGTACGTGGGTCTAGATGAGATAAATGTTGCTCACACCATGTGAGATTCTCGATTGATTTTTGTTTATCATTATCACGGATATTCTGAATATCCTTACCAATCGTTATAAATAATGTCTCATCAAAATGACAATCCGCAAATCTAGCGGTAAATAAATCACCCGTCATTGGTTCCAAGAACCTAATAATTGACGGTGAATCAAACCCAACGTATATGCCAAGTCGGCGTTGGGGACCCATTTTAATTCTCTGAGGAGGAGGAATTGGCACTTGCACAGCGCAACCAAATGTGCGAAGGTGAGAAATATCGGGCTCAAAGCCTAATGCCAATTGCATTGGGGAATGCATATGATAAGCAGTGGGGCGTAATTTAATCAGTGCTGATGCATGCAATACTGCATGGCCCCATGCTGCACTAGTGAGTTTAGATCTCATCAGCAAAGTACGAGCAATTATTTGGACGCGTTTAATCAGAGATTCCGCCAGTCCATTTTGAGTGTGAACGTATGCTACTGGGTGCTTGACATTTATTCCCAGTGCTGCACAATACTCATCAAAACTTTTTGATGTAAATTCTCCGGCATTATCCATCCTTATATTTTTGATGGGATAATCAGAGAAATGTGCTCGGAGTTTAATAATTTGTTCAAGCAAACGCGCAAATGCAACATTTCGCGTAGATAATAAGCATATGTGGGACCATCTAGAAGATGCATCTATTAAAACCATAAAATATCTAAATGGCCCACTTGCATGGTGTATTGGTCCACAAATATCACCATGAATGCGTTGTAAAATGATGGTGATTCATAACCGATCTTTTCAATGGAATGTTTTATAATGAGCTTTCCCTGTGAACATGATTCGCATAAATATTCATTGGACATTAAGATCTTTGTATCTTTTAATGGATGTCCCTTAGTATGTTGTACAATCCTACGCATCATAGTCATTCTTCCAGTCGATCATGCCATTACCCGTGTATATCGGGATTAACAAATTTCCATGGCATAGTGGCGTAGGATTCAAAAGCTCGAATTTGGAAACAATATACTCCAGAAGCTGTCGCTTCGAGTTTTTCATGGACAATTCTTTTGTTTATGCTATATGATGTGACACATAGACACTCCACGGTATTTTCAACTAGTGTCTCTAAATGATATCCATTACGTCTCACATCTTTAAAACTCAGTAGATTCTTATTTGATCTACCACATATCAATGCATTTTCAATATGCAAAGTGGTACTATTAGGTAACACAATTGTTGCGTTCCCGGAGCCATCTATTATTTCCGCGGAACCTGCTATGGTTTTAACTTGTACGTTGCACAATGTCACACTCGAGAAATATATTTTACTATTGAATATTGAGTGTGTAGTTGCACTATCGAGTATGCAATTTTCTCTTTTGTCGATGTTCTCCATGTTTGCCTATAATTTTGTAGAGTGAAAGCTCGTGCTGATAACATGTTGTAGAATAATAATTATATAGGATATATACACATAAAGAATTTAAACAAAAGGAATTTTGCAATAAGAAACTACTGTAAAGAAGTGTAAGAAAGTTTTGCTGAGAAAAACATACTTTATTCATCAACTGATCGACTATTTTATAGGGAAAATATTACAAGCTGTGTCATTATCTATAAAATAATCAAATGACAAGGGGATGACACGTAGTTAATATAGACTTGGTCTCCAAGTTCTTAAACTTAGTCTACAAGTAATATTATAATAGAATTAAAATATAGGGCATATTACAAATAAGCCCATCAGTGGGTACTTATTCATAAAGAGATCCAGACAATAATTTCCTTTACCAATAAGTCCACACATGGTCCAGATTTTTGTAAAAGACTAAAATAACCCCTCTTACTTTAATATGCTCCAATTTCATCCTTAACTTAATTTAACTTCAATTTGACCCCAAATTTCACAAATTATTCAATTTTGACCCAAAGCTTTTTTTTTGCACAAATTTTCTTTTTTTTCAAAAGCTTTTTTTTCCCGCCGGATTCCGGCGTTGACTTTTTTAATTTTTTTTTCTTTTCTTTCTTCCGGATTTTTTTCCCGGATTCCGGCGTTGACTTTTTAATTTTTTTTTTCTTTTCGTTTAAACAACAATATTGCTGTGAATGACAGTAATATTAACTATATTACTGTTAAACACAGTAAAATTAACTAAACTATAGTTTAACACAGTAATATTGCTATATTAATCTCTAGCACATTAATATTAACACAACAAAACTCATTATT